TTAGCTTATATCCATATGAATATTTTCTACAATTCTTTTCCATTGTAATTTATTGATCTTAAGATGCTTCTAAGTTTCTCATTATTGACAACGATCTTTTCAGAATAATTGTACCTCTGCTCCCACAATAAAGTATTTTTAAACTTATTATCAAAAAAGAGTATGTCAAATACTAATCATATTACTTTATATCAACTAGTGCCAGGATCATATACTCAATTTCTTTCCTTTTAAAGGTCTCTTCAATGTTTATACTCCTGTGTAGTTGGAACTTGGAAATTCAAAATTTCAACTTCTAAACAAAACTTCTACTATACATTAAAGGTAAGAGAAAAAACATTAACTCAATTTCGGGGGAAAGGTGTGAAAACCTAGAAGCAGTAGTGTCTTTCTGAGTCATCTCAGCTTCGTAAACTTGAAAGAATAGTCACACAAGAAATACCTAAGAATCTAGGTATCCAGAGATTCCTCCAAACCAAAATGGGAGGGAGATCCACTGTGATTATATACAAATACAAATATAACTTACATCTTTTTCCAATGATGATCTATGATTTGAAAAAGTTTTATTGTTACAGGTGAGGTTGTCATGTAAAGGACTTGGTACCCTGGAAGTCGACACTGAAGTTGGTGAAACCTGTTCAAGTAATAGCAAATGAATTACTTTAATTTCAAAATTACGATACTATAACCATGTTTCTCCATTAGGATTTAGATATGACTTAAGTAAAAGATCAATTTAGTACTTCAATCTCACAACTCAACAAGATATTCATCATGGCACTTTCTCTCTAAGGATTGCAAAAAACTACACCTCTTGAAAATTTCAGGTTTCCTGTACAGAAGAAGCAATGAGAAGTGCACAACAAATCACATAAATGAAGCAGCTCCAAAACGATTATAGCAATTTGTCAAAAAAAAAGCATCAACATTTACCCTAAAACCTTTTTACCACAATCCACAAAGTACCCCACCCAAACAAGTTTTCATTAAATCGTTACTTCATCAATATATTCAGTCGGAAACATCACTTACTCTCCAGTTTTATTTTATAATGCTCTGAATTCAAATTAACAAAAAAAGGAAAGAAGAATTACAATTTTTCATTTAAAAGCCAAATAGTTAAAAATTCTTCACACAAGTGGAGATTCATTAACCAATGTTTATTTATTTCATAAAAAAATCCTTAGCTTAAAAAAGTTATTCATTATTTTCTCAGAAAGTATTATAAGCAAAGTACAAGGAGGGCAACGACTGAGTAGTTTCAGTTAAGCAAAAACAAAAACCTGTTAGAGCGCCTGTGCCACTAGAACTTGCACCCTGAGGCTCAGCATATGCACCCACTTGTGCATCACCGTCTTTGTCAAATACACTATGAAAGTAAAACTCACCCATCATTAATTCTTAACTAATCTAGAAACCCTCTCGAGTTCTTCTTCATCTATCTATCCATCCATCCATCAACAACACTATCAAATCCCACACACTGTATTTACTACACAACGGAACACCAGGGACCGAGTTTCAAATGCAAGGGCGAGTGTGGGCCTCGAATAATTAATTGAGCATAACACAAACAAGGATGCTTCGCATAGAAGAAGAATCAAATTGAAAAAGAAAAAAATAAATAAAACAAAAATGCGAAACAGTGAAACCGTTTTTTGGGCAAAGGAGAATGTGAAGTGAAATAAATAGCAATAGTTACCGAAAGACTGCGATGATCAGAGAAAGTGGCTGGCTGCACTGATCGGAATTGAATTGGATGGGCACTGAGTTGTTGAACGCATTCAATGTTGCGATTTAATTCGCGTACAGCTTCATCACCCTCTCTTTCTCTCTCTTACACATGCATCGATGTTGAGTTGGTAATGGAAATGGAAAGCATTTCTACTATGAGTAATGCAGATTCTTTGATGATGCTTTGAATTTGAAGTGGAAGTGTTGGTCACACACATTCTTCACCCGCCAAATTCTTTTTGCCCTTTTCGCTTCTGTTTCCACTTTTCCTTTCTCATCCTTCACACTTTTGGATTTTAGCTTTTAACTTTTACCTCTTTTTGATCTTCTCAACTTTTGCCACTACTATCAAGTGTTAGCCTCTTTCCTTGTAATCCTTATTCATAATAAACAAATAATACTCTTTTTGAAATGGAGGACCCAAAAGCAATTACAGTGACTTTAAAAAGTACTTTAGAACGTGAAAAAAACTTAACCGAACAGATAACGGTACCCACTGACGCGATTCCTGATTCCTGAGCTATGTTACTTCACTGTGAAACTTGGTGCCGACTGGATGTCATAATAGGGTAATAGGGTGGAAGAAGTGGATTGACGTTAATAGTGGGTGGTTTAGTGTTTAAAGACAAATATGTAATATGATGACAGGGTTTAAAGTAATGTTTACAGTATAGTATGGACAAATGAAATTAAAATAGTATTTATTTATACAGTCAATTAAAATCACCCAGTAATTCTCCACTTAGTTTCCTATCTTGTAGTTTTTTTTTTCTGCCTCGATAAAGATGATGGTATGTTTGATCTTTTGTATTTATTTTTCCTTCCGTTTAATCTAAAAAACAACATCATAAAAAACTGAGTTAAAACATGATTATTTTGCTATGTTATTGAAAGAAAAAATAGAAGAAATGTAAAAATTACTTCCTGGAATGTGCAAATGAAAGGTTTCTGTCCAGTATTTATATGAAATGAGGATAAATTTACTTCTGTTTTTATTGTTAATTTAAATTTTTAGTAAATAAATTATTCATCAAATATCAATTTTGAATTTGCCAAATAAATGTACTTATGATATGAAATAGGTTGAAAGAAAAAAAATAATTAGGTAAATTCTAAAATTTGGTATCAGACTAGAATTAGAAGTAAAATAGAAAGAAAAGGTTAAAAAGGATATAAATAATAAGGGAAAAATAAGAGAAAATCACTCTATTATGCAAATGATTAAAAGGGTGAGTTAAGAAAATAAAATTATCTCTTTTTTATTTCTATCTATTCAAATTTCCTTTTTACTGTGGTATAATCTTATTCAGTTTGGTCCAAAAATAAGTCTTGGCATTTAATATCTTAGATCAGTTGAACTTCACAACATCTTAAGAAGAATTTTTAACTTAATTGATAGTGTTTTTGCTACGTATAGTATAATAATTATATAATAAATTATAATAATTATAATAATCATAATAATTTATAATTATATAATTTATCTCAAAATCCATCAATTCATTTCATATATTTCATGTTAAGAATGTTTCATATATATATATATATACAATTATATAATGGTTCGTCCTTAATGCATGTGCTTTTAAAAACACAAAAGTAAATTAATTTTTAATTTTAACAAAATGTGGATTAAGGATTGTATTGATTATTAACTTAACAGTTGATGGAAACAAAAATAGTATTTTTGTATAAACTTGTAATGGTTATACTTGACTTTACTAAAGCCAAAAGCTACTAATAAACTTCGACTTATTTTAGAAGAAACATTACAACTTGAATTTGGTAAGAATTTTGTTAAAAAACAATACATTTGTTAATCCTATCTCGACACTCATGTTCACAACAATTAATCATATCTAAACAGAGAAATCAATCATCAATAAATAATTTTTTCAAGTCATAACAATTATACTATATATTTTCTACGAAACTGATGTTGATTGATGTTATTTTCTACCAAAGGATTGTACTAAGAGAAATTGACTTCAATTAATAGGTATTAATACACACTCCAGAATGTTCATATGATAAAAGTCTGTACAAAAATAAGAAGACAGAGAAAACATAAACAAAAACTGTTCTTATAGCCGTCCAACCACTACTTATCAGTTACCATAGTTATGGCATTAAAAAACTTCAGATCCTACAATAAACTGACGTTGATTTGTTTAAATAATCTAAAATTCAAGTGTTGAATATGTAAAATTAGATATAAAAAAATATAATTTATTATATATTGTTCTTCTACCCTTTAGATCGGATTCAGACCTAAATAGATGCATACAAATCGATTCAACATAACCTACTAACGTTAAATATATAAATATTAACTATTCTGAAAAAATCGTGATCACAAAATATAGAGAAAAAAAAAATACACTAACGAGAGCCATTAACAACACATACAAATTCTATGAAATTTTCTAACTCAACCATATAACATAAAAACAAATAATATGGTACAAAGAGTCCTAACTCTAGTGCATCCTTACAATCACTATATTTGAAAAATTGTTTACTTTAAAGTTTGATATATCTCTATCAAAACTTTACCTAATTTAAATAAAATCACTGTCAAAAAAGATAGCTGCAGCAAAACAATATCAAATTGGCAACTATTTTAAATGTCTGTTTTTACTATTTATTGATAAGAAAAAGAAACATTGGCATTATTAATAAGTAGTCAATGAATAAAAACGTGAACATATATGTCAATTGTACCATCATGGGAGTTTATGAGCCACAAATATATATATATATATATATATATATATATATATATATATATAAATATATTATGCATATGTATAGAATTCTCTCTAACATGTTCTTGCCACCATTGTTATAATTAACATTTAATTTTGGCCACCTTTAGTTGATTTGGCTACAATGAAAAGGACGAGTAACAGATGATTTTTTAAGTGCAAGTGGAGTTTCCTATAATAATATTCCCCTAGGATGCTTATCCATCCAATTTTCTTTTAAAGTGTTCCTCCTTTATTGTTGAATATTATTGAAAACTATTGAGCTTATGACTAAAAAAACAAAGATGAAAACAAATGATAGGAGTTTTAAAATGGAGAAAAGAGTGAGGTATGGGATTAGTTAGGTTTTAGATTATTAATGAAAGCCTTATCCAACCACTGACGTGGGCCATGGTCGGTGCCGTGACAGCCAACAATGGCTGTCCCTTGGTAATCATGTGTAATATAATTATTTGAATTGTTGTTATATAAACCTAAGCAAAGATTTATGAGGCAAAGGCCCCCCCCCCCAGTAGCACCCGCCAGTTAATAATAGAAAGATAGGTTGTTTGGTTTTGAAGTAAGGGAGGTTCCAAAAATGGTGAAGATCACTCTTGGTAGCTTTGAAGACTCTTTTAGCGCTGCCTCTCTCAAGGCCTATTTTGCAGAGCTTCATGCCACTCTAATTTTCGTCTTCGCTGGTGTTGGATCAGCCATTGCTTACAGTAAGTCTTCAACCGCCACTAATTATCTATATACTGTCTTTCTTTTTCTGTTAAAAAACCTACCCGAGACCAACACTCTCAAACCAGAACAGTAACTTCATACTTCTCATAACACTGTCTCTCGGTCACGTAAATGAAAAGAAAGAAAAAAAAAACATTTGTGCGTGTACGTAAAACAATTACAATTATCACTAGCTTGCTGGAGATCTAACAGTTAGTCAAAATTAAAACCGTTTGTGTATGTAACAGATAAATGTAACTCTCAAGCAGGATGTAAGATTGAGTAAACTCAATTTCTAGAAAACATTTTCCATTAACTAAAGTCTCGGGTCTCAAATATGAACAAGGACAAAACTAAATTTTATTTAATTGGAGAGCAATAGATACCTGCCTGGAATATAGCATATATAAGTTTTCTCATTATGTATGCAAGTGAAAGAATATGATTATACTTAATTTGAACTAAACACCTCTTATTCTTAATTTTAAATATTATATGTATACTTCAGAAAAGCTTGAAATGTTATTTTTAGCTCCACTATTTTTGTGATTCTTGTATATTCCAACCGAAAGTTCAATGATAACTCCAAATAACTAATGAGTGATGATGCACAAACAATCCATTGTTTATTAAATACTTTTTAAAACAGTATTTAGAAGAAGAAAAATTAGATTTAGTTTTAATGAATTAAAATAAAAAATTATTTTACAAGTGTTACTTTTATAAGAATTAATGACAATAATTTCTATTCGAGGGAGATGATAAAGAAAAAAAAAGCTAAAAGGAAAAAAATGAAAACCCTTATTTTGTGAAGATTAAAAAATGAATTAAATATTTTTAAAAAGATTGTCAATTTCTAATATTCCAGTCTAACAATATGAACGTGCTAATCACGGATTAAGTTTTATTTAATTAAACCATTGAAATAAATGCAAGTAAATTAAATAACAGCAAGTGTTTCATATAGGTATATGTACTACGATGACTATAAAACAATGTTGGTGAAAGTATCCATAAAGAAGGAATATAGTATAATAGTTTTATGGTAGTGCATGCATGTTAGTGTTGGCAGAAGTAACACATAATGAAGTGGTTGGTTGTGTTTGTTTTACATAGACGAGGTCACGAAAGATGCTGCATTGGATCCAACGGGGCTGGTGGCAGTAGCGGTGGCACACGCATTCGCACTGTTTGTAGGTGTGTCTGTTGCAGCCAACAGCTCAGGTGGACATTTGAACCCAGCTGTCACATTTGGATTGGCTGTCGGAGGAAACATCACCCTCCTAACTGGTTTCTTGTACTGGGTTGCTCAATTGTTGGGTTCTATCCTTGCATGTCTCCTCCTCAATTTGGTTACCGCCAAGGTACATTAATATTTCCAAATGATATTATTTTATTTTCACATTAATCGAATATATCTTCAACTTCTAATGCTGTTTTGGTTGATGTCACACAGAGCATTCCAACCCATGGACTGGCTTATGGTGTGAACGCTTTCCAAGGTGTGGTGTTTGAAATTATTATCACTTTTGCGTTGGTTTACACAGTGTATGCAACTGCAGCTGACCCTAAAAAGGGCTCATTGGGCACCATTGCACCCATTGCTATTGGGTTCATTGTGGGTGCCAACATCCTAGCTGCTGGCCCATTCAGTGGTGGGTCCATGAACCCGGCCCGCTCATTTGGCCCAGCTGTGATTAGTGGAAACTTCGCTGATAACTGGATCTACTGGGTTGGCCCATTGATTGGAGGAGGTTTGGCTGGGCTCATTTATGGAGATGTCTTCATTGGTTCCTATGCCGCTGTCCCAGCCTCCGAAACCTATCCTTAAAAAACATATCTTATTGTTCTCCTTTGTTCCTTCAAGCTTTTTCTCTTTCTTCAACGTTTGCTGTCCTGTACCTTCAATTTTCCTTTCACCGCTTGTAATTATTCTGTAAATTTTAAATTGAACTCGAAGCATGCCTTGTTGGAACTCCCGTTATTTTTCCGTTTTCATCCTAACGGTAATAACAACCGCGAGCGAATAACTTTTTTGACACAGTCAAACTGACCAGTGGCTTTATTGCCTCTGTAATCTAAAACGTTGCTATATTCTGAAACATAACTACTAACAAAACTTTTCCTCGGATCTGTAATCCTTGTCCTAATTCTAAATGTTGAGATCATTAATATCTATTTTAATTCTTATATACGAATAAGATAGAATATTTACTTAAATAACTTTATGATTTCTCACACGCTTCTATATTTTCGTATGATTTTCAATAGAAAATTATTTTGGATCTTATACATCAATTCCACACTAACTTTTTCGCAGTAAAAACAAAGACCCTTATAAATTAGATAATCCATCTTAAACTAACCTTTCACGAAAGAAAAAAAAATGGCGGGTGAAATTACAATGAAAATAATAAGATCCAAAATAGGCATGTCCAACCCAACGCCATGCCACAAAGAAATGCTTGAAACAGACATTTTACTACATTCATTATTAGTAGTTGAAATGTATTTAAATTTTCAAATAGTGGGTCTTATCTCATTTAATTAGTACGTCACCTAAATCTATAATTTTCAATACATTTCAATCGATAATAGACTATGATTTATTAAGAGTATTTACTAGTTTGATCTCCACTATTAAAATAAATTAAAACAAGGAATTTTAGCAATTAATCTAAGTCAGAGACTTTCTATTATGTTCAATCTAAACAGTAAAATGTCAGGAAATGAACTCCTAAATCCAGCAACTATAATTTGAACAACATTTTAGTATGATTGAATGGTATTATAAAATAAAATAATCCATCACCATAAGAACATTATGGTACAAAATGTACTTTTCTCAATAATCAGAAAATTGACAACTTGGCCAAAAAGATGTAGAGCAAAACAAAGGATGTGTAATAGAATTAAAAGCTGAGACGATATAGGGCACAGAACAGGAGGACGAGCCAAACTGAATTCCACATGGTAATTTCAACCAAAATCTTGTTATCCACAAAATTGTTCAAGCTCCCCCAACCACAACAAAGAACAATTTAGATCAGGTTAATCATGCTATATCATCTCGGTAATATCAGTGGCAACCTGCAAAAGACATAACAGATGAGCACGTTTGAGCAAGACAATAGTAATATTAACACTTTGCTAACAATTTCTAAAACAGGAAACTAGAGCAATATCAGTGGAGCAATTATATTTTCAGATATAACGAGAATGCTGACTTTCTAACTTGCTAACAAACATTCTCGAACAACTACACAAAAGAATATTTTTTAATAGAAAGAATTTTAAATTCTGACTCGAATAGAATTAGTTAACACACTCTAAAGGTTTAATAATTTGAAAGATTAAATTTTCCAAATAAAAATAAATAAAGTTCTTGTCTAGATTACAGGAACAAAGAGGAAAGTATGAAAATAGTATAATGGAAATTTTCTAGAATCTCACCCAGTAGCTACTGAGTTAAAAAGATGGCAGTTGGATTTCCAGGGGATGGAGGATTTTGATTTAGTAAAGTAGCATATTTTCCAGCTCTAGCCAAGGAATCCGCATCTGCTGCTGATAAAATTTCCACATCTTCTAGACCTATCTGTCTCTTGATCAAGTCCAAGTTTTCCTTAAGAACCTCAATTTCACCAAATGGCAATCTCAAATCCAGGGCTTGTGCGCCGATTGAAATTGCTTCCTCTTTCTTAAACCTCAAGAAAGGCATTCAAAGCTTTTGGGTTTGTTTAAAATTAGAAGACTGACCTACAGAACTCTGTTGTAAGGCCTCCATTATGTCTGAATCGGGTGCAAAAGTTCGAGTATCTCTATTAAATTTTTTCTGAAGAATACTGAGGCACTCAGCTTTCCAACCATCAAACTGTTCATTTACATATATCAAGCCTGTCACCTTGTTTTCTGTCACTGATGTGACTGGAGGACCTTTCTTGTTACCCTTCTTTGAGCCCGAAAGTTGCTTCTGAAGCAACTTCCTCATCATAACAATCGAGTCCTGCAGATATTTATTAGCACTCTTCAGTGTGAGATCAGGTGTATCACCTGTTGGCCAGCCAGCATTCACCACGAAACCATCCTTCTTCAAAAGCTCTCTCCAAATAAATTCTGCATAATGTGGACAGATGGGTGCTAAAAGACGTGTCTGCACATCCATAAAGCGCCACACTAAGTCACGATTGCAACCCCCGACCCCACACGAGAACCTGTACTCATCTCTAGCGGCCTGAAGATCATAAAAGCCAGTCTTGAGAGCTTCACGAAACATATAGTTGGAGTAATTTTGCTCAGTTGTCTTGATAGCTATGTTAATCTCATTGGCAAATACACGATCAGTATAAGTAGATGGCGGACCAGTTCTCATGGAAGATTCTGCTGCCAGATTATCTTCGTACCATGCAATCTCTTTAGTGAGCCGTAGAATTGCAGCATTTGCAGTCTCAAAGACAAAATTTGCATCATCAACACCTTCACCAGCATCGGCCAAAGAGAACCGTGTAGCATCGGCAGAAAATTCTTCAATTGCCTGACGCAATGTCCTAAAATTTCCAGTGGACTTTGACATTTTCTCTGAATTGAGCATAATGTGACCATTGCATCTGAAACCACGAGGCCAGTGATGCTTGGCCATAATTGCTGTATGGTTATAAATCGAGAAGGTAAGATGATTCTGGATGAGGTCCTTACCAGAGACTCGAAGATCAAATGGATACCAATACTCAAACTCCCGCTTCATTTTGTCCAAAAGGGATGATGAAATATCAGTTGACTTGGGATATGATCCATCACAGAAAATATAATCCCATACATCATCAGTAAGTTGTTGTGGTTTAATGGCAGACTGGCTGGATCCATACATGTCACCATTTTGCAAATGGTGTGCAACAGTGTAATAAGCCATGTAAATGGTGGAATCTGATAAAGACTCAACCAAGAACTGTTCATCCCAGGGTATGCGTGTCCCGAGACCAAACGATCGTGAACAGGCCCACTGGTTTAACCAGCCTAAAGTGTGCTCAAATCCATGTCGTGTCTCGTCTGAGTAGAGGCTCATATTAGCAAGGCACTCCTCTGCCAACTTCTTCCATTCTGATTCTCCGTATGTAATGTACCACTGATCTGTAAGGGCTACAACGCATTCATCACCAGATCTTGACATCACCCGTTTCTCTGGTTCACTGTAGACAATAGCCTGACCTGGAAGGTGGAGCCAGAAAAATTAGTAGTGGTGGCAAGATTACAGAGAACAATACAGACACGACATTGAAAAAAACGCAAAAAACTTCAGAACAATTCAACAATCTCAAAATAGTAAAAAGAAAACTACAAAACAGTTTTGCTGGGGACATTATCAACTCAAATTTGAAGGTAAACACTATTCCAAAAGACATGCATGTCGTTAGCCTCAGCAACGAAGTTTACATGATACAGTATTCATAAATAATTGTTCGTAGATGTTTTGTAATACAAAAACAAATTTAAATATTTTTTACATTACCCAAATTTAATTATACTTTTAAATTCATATACTTTAGAATTAAGATGAATATTTATTTGTCAAAAAAGGCAGAATGAATAAATGCGAGATAGAACTCAATGTATTTAGTAAACCAAAAAAAATCTCAATTTTTTATTCAATCGTTTAGCTGCTATCCCTTGAAAACACTAATAATGTAACAAATAAAATTTTGAAAATATCCCAATTTATTGTACCCTTGTGGGTAATCTGGTAATCTACAAATCGACTATGGCCCATACAGCCCCCTTCAGAAGCTTACATATTTATAATACATGGACAGGCAGCATGAGTCCATATCTTGACCACCGTCACCTCATCCTCTAAGCTTAAGATCAAGGAGAAGATACTGGTCTGAGATACAGGGAAAAGAGATGGGGGACACACCCTACCAAAAATGCATAGCCCAAGGACAATCTAGGTCTTCTAGGACAGGTTACAAACTCAAACGCACAAACTTGATTAAGTTTTGTGAGATTAAATTATGTTGGAAGTCTCACATTGACTAGAAATAAGGCCAATCTATAATATATAAGTAGGTGCAAACCTCACCTTACAAGCTGGTTTTGTGAGATTGAGTTAGGTTTAAAATTCACTTCTTAACATGGTATCAGAAACAGGTTAAAACCTATCCTAGCGAGAATTGTGTGGGTCATGTTGTTCCACTCGCTATCGGACCACTTATTAATATCCAGTCTCACGCTTGAAATGATGTCTATACCTCGGCGTGATGGGGTGTTGGAAGTTCCACATCGACATCCTAGCGAGAATTGTGTGGGTCATGTTGTTTCACTCGCTATCGGACCACTTATTAATATCCAGTCTCACGTTTGAAATGATGTCTATACCTCGGCGTGAGAGGGGTGTTGGAAGTTCCACATCGACTAAAGATAAGACCAATTTATAATATATAAGTGGGTGCAAACCTAACCTTACAAACCGATTTTGTGGAGTTGAGTTAGGCTTAAAGTCCACTTCTTAACAAGTTAAGATTAGAATTCACTTTCTAATATCATATCAAAGCACGAATGTCTATTCTAACAAGATTTGATGAGGCTATTGAACTCCTATCAAACAACTTATAGATATCTAGACTCACTCAATATGACTAATTCTCAACACGAGGAGATGTATTGAAGATTCTACTATAACTTATGAGTAACGAACAAGTTTTGCCTTTTTAAGCCGATTTTGTGAGGTTAAAATAATCTCGTGTTCCATTTTCTTAAGAGAACTTCAAAAACGTTACACAAAGTTTAGAATAGAGAAGTCCTTGCTAACCAATGGGTGATGTTTCCGGTTAAAAATTTATTCTTCGATTTTTGTTCTATTAAGCATAAAGGAAGTGAGTGGCAATGTTTATAAATTCTGAGATATACAAGAACAACAATACTACACAATATTAAAAAATAAAAATAAGAGTAAGTAAATGCTGACCTGTTTCCAAAAGCTTG